AAAGATATTACGTTTGTGTCGCGCTATTTTTCTTCTCTTTTGTAACAAAAGCAGCAGCAGCAACAACAACAGCAAATAACAAAATGTAAATTGCTGTCAAGTGTTACGACACTGAAAGGAAACTAAATTGAAAATAATAAAAAAAAAAACAAAAAACAGAGAAACACACAATGAAAGAAGATAATAACGAAAATAATAATAGGGGACAAATGTTGTTTTGCACAAACACACACATACACTCTCTCTCAAAAACACACAGCCAAACATACGCGAGTTTTCATTGAGAAAAGAAGCTGGCTATGGTTATATTTCAGAAAAAGCACAAAACGTTGAATACAAGAGGCTAAATAATAAACGTTGTTGGGCTCTAAACAAATGAATGACAAGGCTCATAAAATATATATATATTTTTATCTTTTGTTGTAAGATAGTTATCATTTATATCATGTGTTGGACATCTAAAACGATTGTTGAGAGAAATTTGTAAATGTTTTTTTTTTTCATTTTCCCTGAGGAAAAGGGAAGGCCACAACACAATTTGGATGTATATATAAAATAATTTGAACAAAAATATACTTTAATGTGATATGTCAAAAAATGGTTTTAAATTTTCAATATAAAACAGTGGAAAAATATTTTTACTATTCATACGTCCTAGAGGCGTTTGATGAAAAATAAACAAATTTACAAAATATTTGAAATTTTTTAAGGACTTTCTACGCAATCTGTTATTTTACTTTTTTTCAATTTTCGTTTTTATAGGCCTAGTATATTTCACTTCTCAATCCCTTTAAGTTTTTCCAAGTTTTTTTTTGTAATCAAGAAGTCACCTTTTATACTTAAAGACTAGTTAGATTTCATCAGTTCCTTGAAAAAAAATATATTTATTTTACTTCTATGAAATGTTTGCCTTTGTATTTTTGTTTTGGACAAGACTTTCAAAGATGCCATATTGACGTATGAATTATGCCAATAGTCATACGCCTTATTTTAATAACTTAGTGTGAAATATGATTTATTCCTATTTTCATGAGGTCGAAATTCCTGCAATTTATTTTTTTTCGGTCCAAAAGGCATCAATATTAATATATACTTTTTTTTGTCGTATGGGTTATGTCAGCAGTTATACGCCACAGTACACATCATTATTTGAGTTTGAAACTGACAGAGTTTCCTATTAAAATTCCTTCCATTTTTTTTTTAGTTTTTTCGTTTCATCAAAGCCGATTCCGAATAAAATTTACCTATTTATCGGTTTTTAAGAATTCTAGAACAACTTCTTAGCAATGAAAAAAAAAAAAATGTTTTGCAATGAAAAATCTTGAAAATTTTTTAATGAAACCAAACTTATGCCGCTTTTTTCTAAAGAAACTTATTGACGTATGAGTGATGCCAATAGTCATACGCGAGATAGACACTAAGTGAAAAAAAAAAAAAATGATATACAGCCCACATTTCATGGGAAAAAACAAGATTAATTTGAAATGCAAAATTTCCTTGGATATCTCCTGATTACGTTCTCAAGTCCTTAATTTATATGAGACCTCATCTCAGAAGATATCCTTAATAAATTAATTTAACAAAAACTTATTCTATTTCATATGAAGACATGGGAAAGGAAATTTAAGCAATTTTTCTAAAGTTTTTCTATGAAATTGTGAAGAGAAGTACAGTGAGTTTTCAACAATAGCAGTCCTCAATTTTCTATGGCCTGAAAAATGTTCGATTTTCAGAATATACTTTTCCAGAGAAAAAGTAATCTATTACTACGTCTTATATCATTTTTATTTGGCCAAAAATTCACACATCTTAAGTTAACACCCTGCGAGCTTCCTTCCACCCTCTCAGGACCTAAACCTAAAATATTAACACATTTGTAAGCCACTTTCTTTCTCCTTTGGATAGCAAAACATTTAATCACTCATAAGTAATTTACATAAAATGTGTGGTTATAAGTTATCTCTCTCTTTTAAATGGGCTTCATCATCATTGTGGTTTATCGCCCTCCGGCCCCTGATTTATATATCCCTTGGAGTTTATTTGCTAACTGCTTTGGAAATACATCTTCAACGAAGTATTTTATGTTAAGCCCCTTAATCACTTTGAATTTATTTTGCGTAAAAAGGAAGGCTTAACCAATGTTATTTTATGCATTACTGGATGATTTGTTAACACACTGAGACATGCAAACCCACACACATGCACATACATACAGTTGTATGTATATATGTTACTTTATTTATTATCATAATATAAATAAAATACATATAAAAATATTCACATAAAAGTTAACTGCAAAATAAGGATATACTTTTTGTGGTTTTGCCCTCCCCCTTTTGGAAATTACTTTATTGTTGTTGTTTCTGTATTTATATAAAACTATTAGGCCATAATTTTTGTTGGCATTTTCCCAAAAGATACTCACTGGCTAGCAATTTATTTACATTTTGGATTTAAGAGCAAAGGCTTTTGGTTTAAATAAATTGGTTTTTAAAGTTAGTTACACATGTGTGCTAACACACATGTTCGTATTTTATAAAAAAATATATAACAGGAAGTCAGAACAATTAAAGAAACTAAGAAAAAAATTATAAAATAAATAATTAAAATATATGAAAATATATAGATATTTTGAGAAATAGAACAGTGTGGCTTGTTTGTTCGGGATACCGTAGTATTTTGTTGTTGCAAAATGGTCAGGCTTATCCCTTTATTGTTGTTTTTATAAAAACAACTTTTGTTTATGAGTGGAGAACGATGGTAATGTTTACCAGAAATATAATAATGAAATAAGAATAGTAAAGGTTGACGTATAAGTTGTGACAACAATCATACGCAACAATGTCTAACGGCCCGAGCAGAAAAGAAAACAATTTTGCCAGGACCTCAGAGGTCACAGTTTTTTCTATAGAAAAAAAAAAAAAAAAATCATCAAGACTTCAGAGGTCCTAGTTTTTTTTTTTAAAGAAAAATAATTCTCTAATATATCAGAGGTCCGAGTTTTTTCTATAGAAAAAAAAATTCGCCAAGACTTCAGAGGTCTAACTTTTTCTATAAAAATAAATTCACTTGGATATCAGAGGTCCAAGTTTTTTTCTATAGCAAAAATTCGCCAGGACATCACAAGTCCAAGTTTTTTTTCTATAGAAAAAAAAAATTGTCTAGGACCTCACAGGTCCAAGTTTTTTTCTATAGAAGAAAATTCGCCAGGACATCAGAGGTCCAAGTTTTTTCTATAGAAAAAAATTAGCCAGGACCGGGGTACAAATTATTTTTTAAAAAAAAAAAAAAACACAGGGTCTCAGAGGTCCAAGTTTTTTCTATACAAACAAATTCGCCAGGACCTCAGAGGTCCAAGTTTTTCTATCGAAAAAAAAAATCGGCGGTTAGGCTTCCACGTTTTTTCTATAGAAAAAATTCGACAGGACCTTCGAGATACAATTGTTTTCTGCAGAGAAAAATTTGCTGGGACCTTACAGGTCAAAGTTTTTTCTTTAGAAAACTATTCACAAGGACCTTAGAGGTGCAAGTTTTTTTCCATAGAAAAGAATTCGCCGAAAAAATGCATAGAAAAACAATTCGCCAGGACGCCAGAGGTCCAAATTTTGTTTTATTAAAAAAATTCGCCAGGATCTCTCGGGTTCAAGTATTTCTATGGAAAAAAGTCGGCAGGATCTAAGACGTCCAAGTTTTTTCTATAGAAAAAATCGCAATAAAATGCGAGAAAAGTTTTTTTCTATAAAAAAAACCGCCAGGGCCTAGGAGGTCCAAGTTTTTCCATAGAAAAAAAAAAAATCACCAGTACATCAGAGGTAAAAGTTTTTTCCACAGAAAAAAGTCAAAAGCCAGTCCATCAGACCAAAGTTTTTCTTTTCTGGAGGCAACAATTCTAGTCCCAAAGAACTGGTCTTTTCATTAAATAAATTGCATACACTCGTACAATAAGTTACATTTATGAGTTATCTTAGTAGTCATATGCCACAATGCCTTTAATGAGAACATTTTTGAAATTTAGAAGTGTCCTGTAAGCCCCTTAAATGATACCATTAAACAATATGGAATGTATTTAATGATATGGTAAGAAGGGCGGTTAATTTATTTAACAGCTATATATCATGTGGACCTACCTATGTATGAGGCAAGTAAGTCCAGTTGAATAGCTGTATATATTCATATATTCTACTAAAGGAAATAAACTAATTAGCTTAGCTAATAACTCTTGTCTAAAGACATTAAACTTCTCATTTTAAATGGATCTGAACATTGCCCTACTTAAATTTCCAATCATATGCGTTCTTTCTACAGAGAATCTAGAAATTTTTGGAATGAATTCTCACGAGGAACCATCTGTGATCAGTCAGGTATTATTTATATATTATCTATAAATTAGAATTATTGCAGGATTTAACATAAAAAGATAGAGATCTGTAATGTCTATTCCTTTAAAGAAAATTTTTAGATATTTTCATAGAAGAATTGGAGTTTTTCACATAAATATCTGTAGTTTTTCTCTGGTCTATAGAAAGGCTATAGATCTTAAGCTCGATTTTCAAAGTAAATCCTAAGAACTGTTTACAGAATATTAGAAGATCTTCTTATTTTCTGAAAATTATTATCATAGAGGATATGAATATCGTTTATGGAGACTAAAAAAATATATAAATAAAGATTTAAAAAATTAAAATTATTTGTTATCGCATGAGTAATGACAGCAATTATACGCTACACGGTCCCCATGGATATCCTATTTAAATAAATCATACGCCACCATTTAATACTAAAAAAATATATATTTTTTACGTAACATAAACCTTTTTTGTGCTTCCCCCTTCAAACCCCATGAAAAAACGTTGTTCTCCATGTTTCCCCATTAATTCTCAACTTTTTAATTACAAGAAAAAGTATTTATTTTCCCTGCCCGCCCCTCTCAATTACAGGTATTATTAAAACTAGAGAAAGAAAAACATATTGTTGTTGTTGTTGTTGTCGATAAAACTTACCCTGGCAACATTTCCATACAAGCAGACCAAATTGAAGAGTTTATCTGTGTTCGATGTATCCTGATCCAAGCCATAAACCATCATGACAGCTCCCTGGATGTGCGGGGTAAGAAAGGTAGGAAAAAATAGAAAAAACAAACAACAATTTATTAAAAAAAAAACTAAATAAATCAATTTGAAATGTTTTTGTTAGTTAAGAGAGAAATATGTGTATGTGTGTCAATAAACAATGTTCAATTTGTGGGCTATTTTATTTTGCTAATAAATTGCGGAGTATGTTTTTTGTCTAGTATGGCGTATGAGTTACGACAGCATGTATACGACAGGGCTTGCAGGAAATTTGAAATTACTCGATAACTTAATTTTCCATAGATTTTCTTAAGGATTTTTGAAGGTGTTTTTTGACGAATAAATGGAGCTCTTCAGAACTGTTTTTAAGTACTCATATCGGCTATTTTATTTTGCAAATAAATTGCGGAGTATTTTCTGTGTCTAGGTTGGCGTATAAGTCACGCCACCATGTATACGACATGCCATGCAGGAAGTAGGAAATTGCTTGATAACCTAGATTTTTAAGGATTTTTTAAATTTTTTTAAGGAAAGAAACGGACCTCTTTAGCACTGCTTTTAAAGACTCTTGTCAGCCCTATTTTTTTTTAACTTTTGGATGGACTCATATCAGCCATTACACGGGATATTTTGGAAGTTTTTTGATTCCATTCAACCGGCCTTTAAATGCAGATTTTGAGGGATTCATATCATCCTGCAAACGTCTGTTTTTTGGGCAGTATTGAGAGATTCGAACCATATTTTTGGGATATTTTTGAGAAGCCTCTAAAGGTGGATTTTCAAGCAATTAATTGTGGGACTAAAAGAGGCACATGAAAGCGGAGTTTTGGAAGATTTTTGGCCTTCAAACTTAAATTTTGGAGAGATTTTTTTGGGGACTTAAATCAGCCTTAACTCGATTTTTGAAAAGTAGTTTTTTGGGGAACTCATATCCGCCTTTAAACGTTTTAGGAACTCATATCAGCATTTATTCATCGAACTTCCTGACTATTTTTAGAGGATTTTGGAAGGGCTCATCTCAGCCTACGAAAGCGGATTTTAAGAATTATTTTTCAGGTCCTTCTATCAGCCTTTAAACGCGGAATTTGCAGTTAATTTTAAGGGACTCATGAAAGAATTTTTTACGTGGATTTTTAAAAAATGTTTTAAAGGGCCAATCTTGCCAATCAAATGACGTTTTTTAGAACTTTTTGAGGGACTCGTGTCCTCCTTGAAACACGGATTTTAAGGAGTTTTTCTGAAGACCAGATATAAGCTTAAAACATGGAATTGTTGAGAGTATTTTTGAGGGACCCATATTAGTTTTTATTCATCGATTTTCCAGACGATTTTTGAAGGACCCAAAAGGTATTTGGATGCCGATTTTAAGGCCTATTTCAAAGGACTCAGCCTTTTTAGGAGTATTTTTAAGGATCAATCTTTAAACATCGAGTTTCCTGACAATTTTTAGAGAACTTTCGATGTACTCATATCAACCTTCGAAATCGCATTTCAAGGATTATTTTTCAGGGCCTTATATCAGCCTTTTTGAGGAAATCAAGTAAGCATTTTAACGTGGATTTTTGAAAAATATTTTTATGGGTCGATCTTGCCATTCAAACGACGATTTTTTAGTATTTTTTTAGGGACTCAAGTCAGCCTTTCAAGAGTATTTTTGAGGAACTCTTATCAGTTTATATACAGGGATTTTAAGAGGATTTCTGGGGTACTCATTTCAGAATTCAAGAGCAGGCGTTTAGGAGTATTTTCAACGGCCTCACTTAAGCATTTGAACGTGGATTTTCCAGCCTATTTTTGAGAGGCGAGGCTTTTTGGAAGAATTATGTATGGGCTAATCTTGGCCTTCAAACGTCCATTTTAAGAACTATTTTTGAGGGGCCTATGTCAGCCTTTAAATTTTGATTTTAATCAGTATTCTGAGGGTGTTATCTGAGCCTCTGGCGTGGATTTTTTCGAAAGTATTTTTGAGGGACCTACATCAGTCTTCATACATCGAATTTCATGACTATTTTAGAGGATATCTCAGCCTTTGAAAGCGGAAAATTTTTAAGAGTGTTTTTAAGGGCTATATAAGTGGATTTTCCAGACTATTTTTGAGGGTCTGAAATGAGCATTTAAACAAGGCTTTTTGTAGAATTTTTTGTAGTCTCATCTTGGACTTAAAACGACGATTTTTAGAACAATTTTTGAGGGACTTATGTTTGCATTAAATATGGATTTTAAGGAGTATTTGTGAGGGCCCCATACCAGCCTCTAAGTACGTTTTTGAGGTAAAATTATGAGCCTTTTAAGCTGTATCTTTAGGAAGGACCCAAATTGTCCTTAAATATATATTTTAGTAAAGGAGGACATCAATTAAAGCAATTTTTGGATTTTTTAACGAATGCTTTTATTTTTCAATACCCCAACTAATAATAAGTTAAAATTCAAATACTCATACGCCACCCATGACAGCAATTTAAATCAATCATACGCTCCCTTATATAAAATTATATTTAACCCAAGTTTAATTTTCGAATAAATATTTTAAAATAATTAACATATTTCATTTAATTTTGAAAATTTTTTTTCGTTCAACTCACCTGTGCCTGTCCCTGGGCGGTAAATGCCGCCACTGCTGTATTGCGGCCGGGTATTGCAGCTGTTTCTTTCATCAATGCTGTGGGATGGACACTGGCACCTTTCCAATTCTCCGGTGTGGTGGGATGGAATTCTGGTCCGGCAAATGGTGGGAATGCAGCGCCCGGTCCCAGCAATGGTTGTTCTTTAAATGGACAAAAATTTGACGGAGTCGAGATTAGGCTAACTGCTTATTTGAAAAAAGGACAGCATGCATGCAAGCAAATCACAGGATACAGTAGATGGCAATGCCAAAGGATGCACAGAGGAGGAGAGTGCATTTTTTTTGGTGGTGGGTGGTTGCATCATGGCATTGTTGTTGTTGGAGGTGGTGTTCGGTTTTCGGATGATTACAAAATTAGGTTAAATAGTTAACATGCATACACAGAGACACAGTGGCATAAAAGGGAGTGGCAAGTTTTAGTAAAACGTAACGCAAACAATTTGGTTTGTCATGCACAGTAAAATAATAAAACGGAAACATAAAAAAAGAAAAAAGGAGAAAAAACAACAAAAAATGTGGTATTAGAAAAATAAAACAAAATTAAAAAAATATATATTTTTTGTAGGACAAAACTTTAGAGGTTACTACTTAGCAGCTAGGACATACACACATACATATAAATAAATAAGAAAAAAATCTAAAAAACTTGGAAAACACTTGAGTTTTGTTCAGAACACAGAAAAATGTAAAAGATACCCGAAACGTGACAATTTTTGTTGCAGACCAAACATCCTACTCAACAACTTTTCTTTTTATTTCTCCTTCGGAATAGTTCTGTTGGCCATAAATATTTTGTTAGCCTGGCGAATTATTCATGGCCATAACGACTGTTTTGGGTATGGTGTCAACTTGAGAATAACAAAACGAAGTGTGCATGACTATTTTGGGGCTCTAGGCCTGCAGAATGTTTTAAATTTTCCACTTAATATTTAAAACACAATGGGGTTTGTTTTTTTTTTTTTATTTTTGTGGGGATGCTTTGTATTTTGTGTAAAATTTGAAAAGTTCAAAACAATAAAAACTTGGGAAGGTTGTAAGTTTTGGGTTTTTATTGTTTTGAATTTTAAAGTTTCGTGTGTGTTTATATGTCGAGAGTACCAGTTGGCGTATGAGTGTGGTCATACATCACACGCCACCTGTATTTGAAATATATTTTTTTTTTAAATAAAAGTTGAAATAAAGGGAACAACTTTTCATTTATTTCTTTTTTAATCAAAATATTTTTTTTTTCAAAATTAAAAAAAAAAAATTGGGCTTCTCAAAGTTTCCTTCCTTGGAAATCATGACTCATACGCAGCGACGTATCCAGAAAAGCGCTTTGAAACCATTTCGATTATGGCCCAAATAGCAAAAAAAAAAACATAACTTTTCCATGTAAAATGTAAAACCAGTAAGGAAAAGGTATTTCCGAGCTCTATAAGATATCTGGTACCAAATATCATGCTTGAGTGCATATTGCAATTGTGAGGGACTTAAATACCAAATCGGATAAAACATATATATGGGAGCTATAGCTATATCTGTACCGATTTTCTCCGAATTCGATGTACTTGCTTCTAGACTGAATTCGGTCGGATGTGCCAAAATTCAGCTTTTTTGGACTGATATTAGCCATTTGGTGCACAAGTAACCCGAAATTGGTTGAAGATATATATGGGAGGTATATCCAAATCTGGACCGATCTTGATAACATTTGGCAGAGGTATTTCCGAGCTCTATAAGATATCAGGTACGAAATATTATTGTTGTCGAATACATGTTATGAATGTGAGGGACTTAAACACCAAATCGGATAAAACATATATATGGGAGCTATAGCTATATCTGAACAGATTTTCTCCGAATTCGATGCGCTTGCTTCTAGACTGAATTCAGCCAGATGTGCCAAAATTCAGGTCGTTTGGACTGATATTGGCCATTTGGTGCACAATTAACCCAAAATCGGTTGAATATATATGTATGTCGGAGGTATATCCAAATCTGAACCGATCTTGATAACATTTGACAGAGGTATTTCCGAGCTCTATAAGATATCTGGTACGAAATATTATTCTTGTCGAATGCATATTACGAATGTGAGGGCCTTAAATACCAAATCAGATGAAACATATATATGGGAGCCATAGCTATATCTGAGCCGATTTTCACCAAATTTGAGGTACTTGCTTATAGACTGAATTCGGTCGGATGTGCCAAAATTCAGGTCATTTGGATTAATATTGGTCATTTGGTGCATAATTAACCAGAAATCGGTTGAAGGTATATATGGGAGCTATATCTAAATTTGAACTGATTTTCACCAGTTTCAATAGGGTTCGTCATTAGGCCAAACAAATATTTTATGGAAAATTTCATCTCAATCGGATAATAAATGCGACCTGTATTTGTCCACAAAAAAAAAAAAAAAAAAACAGACGGACTGATAAAATCGGCTAAGAAAGTAATTCTATGAAGATCCTCAAAAGTAACTATGGGTCTATCTCGTTTCCTTCTCCATGTTACAAACAATTGCACAAAGACATAATACCTTTTCGTGTAGGGTATAAAAAGTCTGAGAATATATATCCAGGACCCACGCAACGTAGGTCTCTGCTTTTACGCTGAAGGGTACAGGTGGCGTATGAATGTTGAAATTATCGAAAATAAAAATAGTCATACGCCACCATAACCATGACATAGAGAATCGATCGTGCCCAAGCCTTGGCCACCCTCCATATTACAGTTAATCACACGCACCATATTGGACTTATTACTGGGCAATAAAAAATATTTTACATTTAATTTTTTTTAAGAGAACCTATCTGCCTTCCTGTCTGCCACACAACTTGTTCAGCAACAATTTGTTTTCCAGGTATTATGAAGAGAGTGTTTTTTAATTGATAATGTTGGGTAGTATTAAGTTTCAACACACTACTAAAAAAATCGCCAGTGGTCTTCACTTATAGGTGGTGTTTCATTTCAGTTGTCAGCAGCAACATGGTCACTGCCGGAGAAGAGGGCAGAACAGCAACACATTTTTTTGAAGACCATGATAACGCCAAACAGAAAAAGTGGGGAAAACCTTCAGCGGCACGTGCTGCTGTTTCTTGTTGCTTTAAAGAACATGCCGAAGAGAGAGAGAGAGAGAGAGAGAGCAGTACGTGTGTTTTCCATAAAACAAAAGTTAAGAAGATAGCGACACCCATTACCACATTCAGTGGAAGCATTAGTCAATGTGTGCAGGAGCTCTCCCTGCTATGCCAAGCCACGTCCTTGCAAATGTGCCATTCTGTGTAACTCAGTTATGTCGGCAATAAAACCGAGAATCAGGTGCACACTTTTTCTCCCCGCCAACCAACAGACAGACCGACGAATAGACACGAGTAGAAATGTGGTCATAAACATCCATTTCCAACTAAAAAAAAGTGGAACAAGAAGAAAATTAAGTTTTTCCTCGTTCTTTCGTGCATTTTGCGGAACAGCATGTTTTTGGCCAAACATTATGACTTTTGTTTGTGACGACCATAAAGCTGGCAAGAAAGTAGAAATAGCATCAGTTTTGATTGTTGCAAAATGTGAGGCAGGGCGAGTTTCGTGATGACCCGAATCGGGACTAATAAATATGGTTTAAAAGAGGGACAATATTTTTGAAATTATTGCTGCTGCGTGAGAAGTTGTTATCAATATTCAAACGGAGAATGATCAGGGACATGATGGCGTATGATTGTTATTATTTATTTCAGCATTCATACGCCATAAACACCTTCTGCAGATATGTACAGGCTGAGATGAAAAAACTGAAAGCAACTGCTTCAGACTGCTGTCATTTCTAAGCCACTCGTTCGACAGCTTTTAAAATTATTCCAGTGACAGCTCATTATATTGTCAACAAGGGTACAAAAGCATTTTGGTGAGAATTTTAAAGAAAAAAAGTTATTCGTGATGGAATTCAAGCGTGATAGTGTTATATTTGGCTGGAAAACCACAAGTGACTATCGTTAGAGCACTCCAGCATTTAAATGTGAATAAATCTTTTGTGTCTCGTACCATCGCTCGTTGCCGTGATACTGGTAGCGTAGCCCGTCGTCAAGGATGTGGACGGAAGAAAACAGCAACATCAGCAGAAATGGTTCGAAAAATAAAGAAGCGACTTGATCGAAACCCACGTCGCAGAGGCCGAAAAATGGCTCGTGAGCTGAACATATCGTAATATTCGATTCGGCAAATATTAAAAAATGAGCTCGGGGTAAAGCCATTAAAATTCCAAAAAGTTCAAGAACTTACACCGCAACAGTAGGAAAATAGACTCAAAAGAGCTAAAGAGTTGCTTCGCTTGGCCGAAAGTGGTGAATTTCGGAATTTGGTTTTCTCCGTCTCCGATGAGAAAACATTCGTTCGTTGTCCAGCAATTTGTAAACAAACAAAATGATCCGCTCGTGTTTACTTGCCAAAGAGGTCAGCTGAAAATGTGCACCTTCGGTTGGCGACCAGAACTCAAGCGCCGGCCATGGTGATGGTGTGGGCCGCCATAACAGCCGATGGTCGCTCTATCGTGAATAAATGCCAAATATAAACGCGAAAATATTCTGGAGGGTGTATTAAAGCCTTGGGCACGCAAACATTTTGGCCGCAGACCTTGGAAATTCCAAAAGGACTCAGCACGCGCCACCCAAGAATCGTTACAAAATTAGGTTTCTCGCTTCAAATATCTCGTCACCAAAATCTCCGGATACCAATCCTTTAGACTATTGTGTCTGGAGTGTTTTGGAAAGCAAGGTTGGTACTAAAAAATACCAACGTGTCGATCAACTCAGGGAAGAGCTACGCCGGGATTGGGCCAAAGTACCGCAGAGCAACGTTTGGGCAGCTTATGACGGTTTCATTGGCTTTTTGAAGGCCAAAGGTGACCAATTCGTGCCAAATGTGGCCAATTCGAACAAATCTAAAGTGATTCTGAAATTTGATGCTATTTACAATATTTTCTGGCTTCATTCAATAAAATTTGAAAAAAATGTAAAAGTTATGACGTTTGACTTTGTTGCAGTTTTTTTATCTCATCCTGTACTTATTTTTTACAATGTTAGAAGGCTTAGGATTTAAAATTAAATATAAATCATAAAACCAACCCTATCGCTACACCTTTTTTCAAACAGATTCAAAATATATAGCCACATAATTAACTACAAAAGCTAAAGAAAATACCA